TATTGTTTAATCGTATCGCCTTTCTATCTTCTTTTCTTTGGATTACTATTTAATATTTTATTAATCATCATAATATCAGTAGGCCGATATTTGTAAGATTTTATCAACCAGTTTTATATCTTATAGCCGATTTTTGGTTGGTTGTTTTTTTATGTATCGCCTTCATATCGTTCTATCATATAAAAAAATTTTGACCAGTGATTGTATTTTGTCCATTTTTATAATAATAAAAAGAGTTATAATGTAGGATATAAGAGAAGATAGATATAGTAGCTGGGTTATCAGAAAGTAGAAAGAATCACAAAGTACAGCTAGTCAGAATTGTAGGTATTGCATGGGGTCTTGGTTAATAAAAGAGGTAGTTTTGGGAATACAGGGGGCGAGACACTGTGGACAATGATGATACTCAGAGGTGGGATCAGGTGAAATTAGTCAGAAAAGACTATCAGCATTGGAGTGCTGTTTTCCAGGCCAATGGACCACGATGAAGTCATACTCCTGTAGTAATAAAATCTAACAGGCTAGACGACCTTTTGGTAAGGTATTTTTTAGCAACGACTTAAGGGCTGAATAGTCAGTTACTAAGGTAAATTGACTTCCATGAAGATACTGGCAAAAATATGTGATAGCCTACACAACAGCAAGACATTCTTGCTCAGTTACTGAGTAATTTTTTTCGGCGGGAGTTAAAGATCGACTAGCATAATAGATGACTCTTTCTTTATCTTAAGAGTCTCTTTGGGAGAGTATAGCCCCCAGAGCGGTACCAGAGGCGTTTGTAAAGAGCAGAAATGGCTTATCGAAGTCGGGATAGGCCAAGACAGGGGCAGTCACCAATCTATCTTTGAAAGTAGCAAAGGCAGTTTCCTGTGTACTTGTCCAAAAATACTTGGCATTCCTTTTCAACAACAAATTAAGTAGAGCAGCGATGCTCGAAAAATTTTTTATAAACCAGCGGTAATAAAAGGCCAGTCCTATGAACCTACATAGTTGTCTAAGATTAGAAGGGGTGGGAAAGTTCTTAACGGCTTCTACCTTTCTGAAGTCAGTGGAGATTCCTTTGTAGTTAACTATATAATCTAGAAACTTAAGTTCCTTTTTTCTAATATGATACTTCTTGGGGTTTAACTTCAAACCTGCCGATTGAAGACTTCGGCTAGATAGATTAGGTGTTCATCGAAAGAGTTAAAAAAAATGTTAAGGTCGTCCAGATACACAACCACATATTGACCGACTATGTCACTGAAGATTCTATTCATCAACCTTTGAAAGGTTGCTGGAGCATTAGTGAGGCCGAAAGGCATCACATTAAACTCAAAGGTCCCAAATTGTGAAATGAAGGCGGTCTTTTTTTTATCCATAGGGTTTATTTCAATTTGCCAGTACCCACTAGCCAGATCAAGGGAAGTGTACTAGGAGGAAAACCGAGGGTGTCTAGAAGATCATCGATGCGGGATAAGAAATAACTGTCTTTCTTAGTCATGGTATTGAGGCATCGGTAATCAATACAAAACCAAGTCTTGTCTTTTTGTTTGACCAAGACTATTGGGGAGGCCCACGGGCTTTTGGAAGGCTGAATGATTTCATCATTCAGCATTCGGCCAATTTCTTCCTGAAGAAATTCTTTTTCTTTTGGAGAGGTTCTATAGAATCGTTGTCGGATGGGTTGGGCATTATCCGTCTGGATAGTATGGGTTACCAGACTGGTTCGCCCCAAATCCTGTGGCATCTATGCAAAGAGGTCACTATATCTGGTTAACACTTCTTCAATCTTATCATGGTCATCATCATCAAGTGTCCCTATATCCAACTCATATGAGGGCTCTTCCTGATTGTCGAGATAAAATTCACCACTCATCTCTTCATCATTTTCCGAGTCGGTAAACTCGTCTTCAATTCCGGAGAAGCATCATCGGAATCAAAGAGGTCCTTATCCTCTCCTTGTTCATAATCGTTATCACTGCACAGGTTTCACCATGCTTCATGTGACCCCACTCCTTTGGGTTGTTCATTATATTGGGAGACTATCGATTCATAATCTGACTCTTCATTGTCGGGAGTTATGTCTTCATAATAGTTACTAGGCTATTGCTCTTCTTCTTCTGAATAACCGAAGAGTCTATCTTCTAGCTCTTCTTCTTCATATTTACTTTCAAATTCATTATCTGAAACAAACTCATCAGAGTCATTATTGTTTTCAACAGCAGGCTGAGTAACTTTAGGAGGGCGGTCATTTTGGATGGAAGTGTGTTGGAGTTTACGAAACTCTACCGAGACAGTGATTATCTTATTTTCTCAATGGAAGGTCATTTCCGAGGTGTTGTAATCTATCTTGGCGTTGATCAGGGAAAGCCAATCATTCTCTACGATTGCTTTAAAAGACGTCGTATCTGTTACGACTACATCAACGGGAACCAAGACTCCCTGACGGCGAATGAGAAGTTTGATATTTCTCCTATCCCTTAAATTGTAATGCAGGCAAATTTGTCTGTGAAGATTTTTACTAATTTTTTTAATATTTAAATTTTTTAATAAAATTTTGAATATTAATTTTA